TACGACCAAAAGGGAAATATAGGGCTCCTGGGAGGCGCCTCTAGAGGTCCCTTGGGTCGCCCACCCCTCGGAGGCCTGTGGAACCACAGCCAAACTGAAGCCCCAGGGTGCCTCCCGCCCAGCATTGCCCTGGGGCGCCACAGCCTGAAGATACCTGAGGTGCACAGCCTGGCAAGGGCCCTTGGGGCTCTGCCTCCTTTGGCAATCTGGGCGTGACGCTACTGTCTCTTGGAGTGCCCGCCGCCCCATGAGGGGCCTCCAAGAACCCCTGCCCTTCCAGGGCCCCAGGGGTCGCCCCCACTCCCAACAAGGGCCCCTGAAGGTGCAGCCACCCGTGAAAGGGCCCTGGAGGCGCTGACACTCATGGGAGGGACCCCGAGAACCATAGACCTGGGATGGCCCCTGGGAGTGCCTCCACCCCTGCGAGAGTTCGCAGGGCGCCACCCCTGGCAGACCCTGGAGGACCTGCTGAAGCTGAGAAGTGCCCGGGGGAAGCCCTGCAGGATGGCCCCTGGAGGCGCCATCGTTCCTGTGAGAGCCCCTGGATGAGCCGTTGCCACTGAGGGGCACCACCTCTGGAAGGACCCCTGGGGGCACTGCCACTCTGGGAAGCCCTTGTGCCCCCACCGCCCCTGAGGTCTCTGAGGCGCCACAGGCCCTGGCTGGGCCTGGGGTCGCTGGCACAGGAGCCTCTGACAGGGCTTACCCTGGGAGGGCCACTGGGAGCGCCATCGCACCTAGGAGGGCCCCTTGGAGCCCTTCACCTGGCAGGGCAAATGGGATGGCCCCAGGGTGCGCAGTTGTTTTTGCACTTTTTAGAACAATGGGAGATATGACGTTAAATAAATACACCTCCCATCGTCATTCCAGTCTCATAGCATCATGAATAATGTAAAGCAGAATAAATACCCAACAGGAAAACATAAGTTGGGGTGCTGTGCTGACTGACTGCTCTGTTCTCCTATTGGCTCTTATTTGGCGGATCTTCAATTTAGTCCACCAATCACAGTTAAGTAAGGGATTGCTGGACGTATGCAATATATACGATAGCACGACCAAGGAAGCTATAGGGCTCCTGGTTGGAGGGCGCCTCTAGAAGGTCCCCTGGGGTCTTCGCCACCCCTGGGAGGGCCCGTGGAAGCACTGCCAAACTACGGAGAGCCCCGGGGGTTGCCGCGGCCCCTGTAAGACACCTGAGGGTGCCACAGCCCCTGGCAGGGCCCTTGGGGGCTTTGCCTCCTTTGGCAGTCCGGGCGGTGACGCTACCGCCTCTTGGAGTGCCCCCGCCGCCCCATGAAGGGTCCCTAAAGGAACCCCCGCCCCTTCCAGGGCCCCATGGGTTGCCCCCACTCCTAACGAGGGCCCCTGAAGGCGCAGCCACCCGTGGAAGGGCCCTGGAGGCGCCGGCACTCTTGGGAGGGACCCTGAAGGAACCATAGATCCTGGGATGGCTCCTGGGAGTGCCGTCGCCCCTGCGAGAGCTCGCAGCGGCGCCGCAGCCCCCTGGCAGGGCCCCTGGAGGACCTGCTGAAGCTGAAAGTGCCCGAGGGGAGCTACCACCCCTAAGGATGGCCCCTGGAGGCGCCACCATTCCTGTGAGGCCCCTGGATGAGCCGTCGCCGCTGGGGGGGCACCACCACCTCTGGAAGGACCCTTGGGGGCACTGCCGCTCCTGGGAGAGCCCCTTGTGCCCCCACCGCCCTTGAGGGGGTCTCTGAGGGCGCCACAGCCCCTGATTGGGCCCCTGAGGTCGCTGCCACAAAGAAGGAAGGAGCATGGGGGCGCTGCCGCTTTTGGGAGGCCTCCGCATCGGGGAGGGCCCCTGGTGGCGCTGCCACCCTTGGGAGGGCCCTGGCAGCGCCGCCACCTCTGCGAGGGCTGCACCGACCCTAGAAATTCCTTGGGTGTGCCACAGCCTCTGACAGGGCTTACCCTGGGAGGGCCACTGGGAGCGCCGTCGCACCTAGGAGGGCCCCTTGGGGCGCTTCACCTGGCAGGGCAAATGGGAGGGCCCCAGGGTGCACTGCCCCTGTAGGGCTTTTGTGAGCAGGGGCAGTGACGCCGTCTGGGTTCCTCCCGGGGGCGGCATGGGTCATCCAAGAGCCGGTGGCGTCCCTAGGGGCCCTCCTTAGGAGTGGTAGTTCCCTCGGAGCCCTCTCGGGGACAGCGGCGCCCCCAGGGGTTTTGTCAGGGGCAGCGGCACTCCCATTGGTGGCGGCGTTCCTAGGTGCCCTCCTAAGGGCGGAGGCGCAACCAGGGGCCTTCCCAGATGCGGAGGCGCCACTAGGGCACTTACTAGGGACTGTGGTGCCCTTAGAGACCCTCCCAGGGGCAACGGGGGCACTCTAAGAAGTAGTGGTGTCCCGATGGTCGACGGTACCCCCAAGGGTCCTCCCAGTGGCGGTGGCGTCCCCAGGAGCCCTCCTAGGGACGGCAGCTCACCCAAGGGTCCTCCCAAGGGCGTCAGCGGCTATAGGAGGCTCTCCTTAAGGACAACAGCACCTTCAAAGTCCTTCCTAAAGGCCATCTCAGGGGCAGCAGGGCCCTGCAAGGGGTTGTGGCACACCCACAGGCCTTTCCAGGGGCAGTGGCACCCTCAGGGGCCCTCACAGAGGCAGCAGCGTTGCCAGGGGTTCTTCCAAGGGCAGTGGCGTGCCATGGGTTCTCCCAGGGGCCCTTTCAATGGCAGCAGCACCACATAGGGTCCTCCCTCTTACGGAAACGCCACTAGGGGACCTCCCAGCAATGGTAGTGCCCTTAGGGGCAGTGGGGGCCCTCAAAAAGGCGATGGTGCTTCCAGGGGCAGTGGCTCCCCCAAGGGCCCTCCCAAGGATGTCAGTGCTCGCAGGGGCGGCGGCGTCTCTAGGGGGCCCTCCCAAGGACGGCGGCACCCCCAGGGGCCCTCCTTAGGGTTGGCAGCCCTCCCTGGGCCCTCTCATTCCACCAACTACAACCATGGGATACCAATACCATGATATCTCCCAGAAGAGGCAATTTGTCTGCATGTGTAACACCGAGTTAAGTATCAGCGAAATCACAAGGCACGTGGGAGTCTCGAGATCGACAATGCGGTGTTGGTTACAGCGGTTTGAAGAGTCTGGTAATTAAGAAATCTTCCCTGATTATGATGGCCTAAATTGACTAGCACAACAGACGATGCGAGGATTGTGGCAGACATTCATGACCATCCTCTCACCAATGTGGTGGCCATGACAGCAGCCTCACTTGGAGGTCTTGGCTAGGGCAGATAGGCGGACGACTCCACGGAACTGGGATCCACCACAGGGTCTCTGTTATCCAGGAAAGACTAGAAGAACACCATGTTGGGAGACTACGGTTCACTGATCATTATGTGGGGGAGGACCTGGACTTCTGGGCAGCCACGGCTGTTTTCACTGCTGAAGACCTGATAACACCCGTTACGACCGGCAGCACGTTTATCTATAAGCCAGGAGCAGCCACATGACCATAAACATGTGGGGTTGGATTAATCTCAACAGTATGGGCGAGATGGAGGAGATAGTATGTTCTTTCCTTCTGTTTGTGTTATAAATATACAGTACAATATAAATTGTTTTTTTCTTTAGAGGTAACATGTTTTCTTCCTATCCTTATGTGAAACACTTTTATTTCACCAAATATTTAATACTCAATTCAATTTAAAATAGTTTAGTTGAACCAATTTTACCAATTGGAACAAAGAGCAAACTCCCAAACAAAGTAATGCTCAAACTGTAAGAGAGAGAGAGTGAGTGAGTGAGTGAGTGAGTGAGTGAGTGAGTGAGTGAGTGAGTGAGTGAGTGAGTGAGTGAGTGTGTGTGTGTGTGTGTGTGTGTGTGTGTGTGTGTGTGTGTGTGTGTGTGTGTGTGTCAGGGCATCATCAAGGTATATATATGGTAAGTTACTTTATACTTTTAATTATAAAACTAAGATAAGATAACAATTACCATCTATGTTCTGTTAAAACCCAGATTTTTCATGGAAAATATGAATCATGAAATACTAAAAAGAAAAAATATTATATAAGCCACAAGTCCAGAAAACTGTGAGGGCAAGCTTTTTCGGGGTGGGAGTTGTGAACTCTTGGAACAATCTGCCAGAAAGTGTTGTGACGACACCAAGAGTGAGCTCTTTCAAGGCAAGACTTGACCAACACTGGAGCAGGTTCAGATACATTCAGGAGCCGGTGCATGCCCAGTACTTGCCAACAGTATGTAACAGAGACGTGACCGATCGCCCAAGCAGCTAACGAGCCGATCAGTGGTGAAGAGGATAAAACAAAACAAAATACTATAATATTCTTCATATTGGGACCTTGTCACCATCATTGTTTTAGGACTATTTTCCAAGCTTGTGAGGGTTAAACTGTGATTACCTGATGACTAGCCTATAAACTCTTATGAACTTCAGGGTTTGGTAATGAAGGGTAATTGATATAGATCTTTTGTCAATTCTTATTTGTCAAATAAATAGAACTACTGTATATACAATACTGTAATGAGGACAGTAAACCCTGCACTACACAATGATGGCCAAGGAAATATAGGTAGAGTACAGTACTGTAATGACAAGTGACTCATGCAGCTTATATTTAAATAGTAACATAATAAAAGGCATTTATAATTACTGTGCTTATGTGACAAGACAAAACTAGTAGTAATTATCAACAATGGTATCATAACAAACTTTCTGAAATGATGAGACAGAAGTACAGGTATTTCCAAATGACAACAAATAATAGGGGTGTTATGGGTCAGTACATCTGGCTGTCCACCAGAATTTATAATAATTATATAATCACATGAACTACTGATGAACCTTGAGTATACAAGTAGTAACAAATTATGCAACTCAAATGCTCCCTATTGGTCCCACCTTTGAAGGGCACATTTATGGTGCTTTCTCTCTCTCCCACACACACCCAGTCTCACTCTCTCTGATGGGCACTCGGAAAGAATTTGAAAGTACAGCACAGTAATCAAGTGGACACAAAGTACTGAGAGACATGATAATGCCCCTCCAGGCCTATGGTAGTTGATAGAGTGAAGGTTGCCCTGGGGTAAACTTGTGGAAGGAGTAAGTATTTGATAAAGTTGCCAGAGAAGTGATATCTTCCCCTGAACAAAACTACTTGTTCAAGGCACCTATGATCTACCACTACACTATAGTACAGTACAATACAATACAGTATAGTATGGTACAGTAAATCAGGTATTTAAAATAACATAAAAACCTTAAAACTAAAATGGGCAAATTTCCAAAATACTGCATAAAACTACCGGTAGTTTTGGAAGTAAATGGATTCAAGGACGTAGTGCCATTAATGAAAGGTTTAGAGAAGCCTTTCATTTAGCATGATATCTTTTAAATAAAAAACATTTCAGTTCAATATTATACTAATACAGGACTGTACTATGTAACATAGATCCATTAGGAATGACAGTAAAAGAGGTTTAGTCTATACTTGAAGAGAACTGTCCTCTTTTTTGATTAACTGTGTCAAGAGGTGATGAGGATGAATCTGGAATGTTGTTATGAGATTGGCTGGAGTCAATAATATCACTTTGTTTCTGGCTATAGTCTTGTAAGTTTAGAGAGACAATATGTCCATTTTGACTCTTATACAGAGGATGGGTAGCAAGTGCAGCGGTGAGATCTTGTAGCATTTCTGTTGTTGGCTCTTTTATATTACACCCTTCTGGTCTCCTCCTGAAAAAAAAAATCCTTATAGTGAAAATCATTGCCACTAAATATGATAAATATGATCATGAAACAGAACAAGCTTGAACATGTACATTAAACTACTTCCTGTTCTACAGAAGCAGTTGAGGTCACTTCATCTATACCCTCTTAACACATGAGTACTATTGCTCTGTTAATACTAACTTGCAAAATTTAATGCATATCAAATTAAAGGGCCATTGAGATTACACTTCTCTACAATATATTCCCATGGAAGGTAATAACTAATTTACCCATGGAGGGAGACTGTAAGGTCCTTCAAGTGCTCTGGAAGACGATATCTTGTCCATGAAACAATGCCCTCAAGTTCTGTGGTGTGGTCACTCACATCAGAAAACCTGTAAGTAACAGATTAAAAAATCTTTGTCACCTCTTCCAAGTTGAAAATAAACAAACACCCATTTGTTGTGTTCTACTATGGTGTTTCCCTTCCACAGTAATGGCCTGAAATATTCAATAAGTTTATTCCTGTTGCTTCACCCAATTCAGCATCACTTTTCAGACATACATTACACTACAGTACATCATCCCCGTACAGTAATATGTGATGCTCACCTCATTCAGAAACTCGATTGTTTTTCAGCATGTTCATCTGTCTCACTTCTAGCACATCATTTCACCTCATCTTTCCATCTCCTTTGTCTTCTTTTCTCCCTCCTATCCTCTACCTCTGAATTATACCGTACTGTCAATGGAAAATAAAAGTATGTTCCAACCCCTTCACCAGACCCCTGTTGTCTTGTCTACATATTGTATGTAAAGTACAGTCAGCGATGAATTAAGTACTATTGTACGGTATTCTTTCCGTACAACCTCAAAAGCAGATTTATTTTGCACTCTTCAGCACTGATCAATATGTGAAGCTAGGAGTCCATATATGCATTTGCAGTTTGTTTGCAGTATGCTTTTGCATTAAATTGCCTTGAAAAATGGACACCCGTTTTCATTTTCATGCAGCTGTCTTTCTGTTAGCGGGAACAGGACAGGAAAGGTGGCTCTTAGTGCATCGAAGTTATAAGCCTTATACAAGCAGGATGATTTGCTATTAAACATCCTGGGTTTGTATAAGATCATGTGTAAATCAAAGGAAAAATGGACAAGGAAACATAGATGGTGGGTTCATAGATTGCTGCTGAATCAGACCAAATATAGAGCCTACAATACTCTGGTAAAACACCAAGGTTGGATGAAGAAAAATTCAAAGAATATTTTCGTCTGAGTAGACAAGAGTTCGCACATGTTCTTTCCCTGGTTGAGGAGGATTCGGTGAAACACTGCAGGAACAGACAAGTCATTTGCCCAAGGCAGCAACTTGCAATATGTATAAGGTAAGTCAAGCTTATAAATAGGAAATGATAAGAACCACAGATAAATATAAAGTGACACAAAAATTTGTATTCCAGTGAACCATTTATTGAAACCACGAACCTTCATTTTAGAACTGTTGTGTCAAAAATGTATGGATCTCATAAAATGATATACAGTATAAAGACTGATGCTTAATGACTTAAATCATGAAATAACACTTGCTAGGTTTCTTAATGCATTATATAAATGCATTACAAAAACAGGTTGGGATAAATTCTGAGGGAAATGATGAAACAATTGGTATGTTTCAAGGAATACTGAAGATTAATGCAGTATAAAATGAAATTCTTTTGTTTATCACAACGAAACTCATGTTGGCACACAAATTCAATCAACTTCACAGTCTCCTTGACAGAAAACTATTTTTTCCTCAAGGCATCTTGCTGGGCGAGGAGAGCAAACACAGGGATAGTGACATCCCAGTGTGGGATTCCCTCGTCCGTTTCCATGTGGTTGCATTTTCAATCGCTACAGGGAGCAAATGACATGTACCACAAACACATAACTACCGCTATCATAACCATGCCAATGAAAACAACCGTGTACATTTCAATATGATCAATTTTTGCTGCTAACATTACTGCTACCGCTACCGTGTGAATAGACTCCTACCTTTAGCCTGTTGCTGAACGTAACTCCATTATTCTGCTCCAATTCTACTGTGTACACCGATAGATATGGGTTTAGGATCAACAAAATGACAAAAACTAAATCCCTGATATCTATACAGTACAGTACAGGTATTAACCAAATCCTATCCTAGCCTAACCTACACCCTCTAACTATCCATTACATAAACTTCCCTCCCCCACATATCCACATTGATGTTGGCCATTCCTTCCACCTACTGTCCCATTCTTTAGCCTATTTCTCTTCCTCCTCATTTATATTTCCTCCTTTATGTAACACTTTTCATTTGCCTGCCCAGGTATTATAGAAGAGGACAGGGGGATTATAGAAGAAGACAGGGAATTATAGTGTACTGCGCATTGTCATCCCTAAAAATCCCATCTAATTCATATTACGCTACATAACATTCAAATGCACAGCGCTTGTAGAACCCCAGAAAACGGGAAACATTGAGAAAGGACAACTCCCCTACTCAAGGTTCCTAGACCATGTGTGGTATTGTACCCAGGTATAATTATATCATATCAAGTGTATGTATTCATAGCATTAAGGATCACTCAGGGTAGGCATAAGATGAATGTTAAAGTCCAGTTGAGCCGGACTAGGGTACTGTAAGACTAAGTGTGGAGCAGGGTTTGAAGGTCCTACTATTTACGTCTGTGAGCGTGTAGCGAACCTAACCCCAACAGATATCATATGAAAATACATGAGAACAATGATCGGGAAAAAGGGATAAATGTATCAGAACTATGTGAGGTGTTGACAGTGATCTAGAAACTATACTGGAAAGGAAATATCGTGTATGCGTCGGTATGAATTTAATACACCTCGTAGCCTCACGTGACATATACCCACGACAGGTACAGTGATCAGAGAATCTGAGGTCTGTGTTCAAATCGTGCGCTGTGTGAGAGGAGGATCCCTCATTACAGTTTTTAAGTGAAGTTGATACACCCCCGCCATGATCATTCGGCTTTTGTTTCAAGGCGCGTCATGTACCCGCCTCAGATGCCCGTTGATATTAAAATCCCAGGCATTTAACCAAGCACTAACAAACCAAGACCTGACCTTAGTGTATAAGTTAGGATTAATATATGTGTTTATAAGAAATGAAGGACAATATACCGTAAAGTGTTCAGGGGAGAACCATAAGAAACAAAAATGTAAATTGAGGATTGGAAACTGTAGGCCTATGTGACGAGAAGCGGCGGGAAGCCGGCCTTAGTCTTTCCCGTTCTGCCGTCAACACAGGTCAGTGCCCTAGCGGGCTATATCCCGCCCTACAATTAAGGTTGATAAATAACAGTTACTACAGTTTAAAGCTTTGCCGGATATATAAGTGTGATAGGGATGTGTTAAGGGATGGGATAACCGCCCGTCAGGCATTATTGCTTAGTCTTTCCCGTTCTGCCGTCAACACAGGTGCCACGTGGTTGGGGTATCTTGCCGCCCGGCCGCCATTGTCTCCTGGAGCGCCACACCAGGTGGGGAATTACTCCCCACTATACCAGTCCACTATGAACCGGTGGATTCCCAGCGCACCACTCCACATGAATAGTCACAACTAAGGAGACCGTGAGAAACTGCGGTCGTCACTTGGAGCGACCTATAATACCAGGCGTAGAAATAGTGCTGGTATGTCTCTAGGTGAAGCCCTCGTCTTACCCACCGAGGGCGGTGTGCGAACGAGGGGCCCGTTGTGTATACCTAAAAGTCACAAGGAGTCACATACTTGCAGGTATGGAGTGTAACAGGTGTGTTGCGATGGTGCTACTATGTATGATAACCGACGGTGCTACAAGCCACACCAGTGGACAAGTCTGATGTGTTAAGGGATATTGTAAGAAGGAACGACCGAGATACGGCGTTCACCGATTGTTGTGCAATAAGTGGGTGGATGACCCGCCAGTAATGTAGGAGTCCGGGGCCCAGTTGGGTAACCAAAATTCCGTTGTTCTTCTGAGGAAGGCCAGTTCATGTATGTTTTTTTTACCAGTGTGTTTTATAAGAAATAAATCAATGAAGACATGTTATGGTTTCACCCTTCTTTACCCTTATCGATCTGATCAATGGAAAACCTAACCCAATGCCTAGTTCACTCTGCCCGCTACCTAACGAGCTACATGCTGTCCAGAGGGGGTCTGGTGGCAGCGACCCTTAGAAATTAAGATTAGAGTTAAGTTATCCCCTTAGATTTAGTGACCCCAGATCTGGCAGTATAAATTGGTGGCTATAGCGGTGGGATGGTTTTTAATCATTGATCAAATCCGAGGGAATTGAAGTTGTGATTTAAAGTTGCAAGTATAGACAAGTATTTTAATGATGGATAATCTGATTTTTGAGTGATACTTGCAGGTGAATAACATTGATTTGAGTACAGAAATGTAAGAAGAATTTTTGAAAATTTATACAGTACTGAAGTCATGTGTGTCATTGTGTGTTTTGTGTTTGTGTTTTATCCAGTGTTAATATGTATTAATACTTGCAGAAGTTGTGGATTAACTTTGGTGACGTTGAGGTAAGGGAGTCCACACTGTGTCTGAGAAGTGTCTCAAGTGGTTCACCTATGGAATACCATAGGACTTTCGGTCTCCAGTTGATGTGAGTTATAATTTTTGGTGCCATGTTAAGAGGTTGCATAGTGTTGTATTATACCATTGATCAATTAAGGTTGTAGTAGTACAGGAGAGTAGTTGTGTTAAGCGGTTCGTATTTGTCTTGGGCCGAGAGGTAGCACTTTAGGTCAAAATGGCTGAGTCAGTAGAACAGGGAAGTACCATAGTTGGGGACACATTGGCAGAGAGATTGGAAGAGGTTTTGCTGATCAACGCGAGACAATACTCGGCGTTAGAAGAATCACAGACACAGGTTAAGGAACTAAAACAAGAACTCCAGGAACTAAAACAAGAACTCCAGCATGCAAAGAACCAAGACACTGATCTAGAGTATGGTGTAGGTAGGGACACAAACCCAACTGACCCACCGGCAGAAAGTGCCCACTCTGTACCACAATCAGGGAACGATACCACACACCCAGGTAGCCTTAGAGTTGATCCAGGGGTTCTGCCCAAACTAACGGACATGGCCAAGAGGGATGATAGGGAAACAGCCGTGTTCAACCTTAGTTATGTTAGAACGTTATCATTGGAAACACTAACAGGGCCGGATTCTGAGAGCCATATTAGAACTTTTTGTAGACAGGTAGAGTGGTTACTGAAGCAGGATGGCCATAGGGTAGAAGCGGCTCTAAGCCGAATGGAGTATTCCGTAGAACAGAGGGTTCTACAGGAATTGGATAGCAAGAAGATGTGGGATTGGAACACCCTTAAGCAAGCTTTGA